CAATGATCAAAAAGAGGAAGGGAGCTCTGTAGACACCAGGAGCTCTGGCCTGAAAGGGCGACAGGAAGAACACCTGGCTGTGAGAAAAGAAAAGATGGAGGAGGAAGAAATGAACTACAAGGTGGCAGAGAAAGGGGAAGTGGGCAAGGGCTGAGACTCATGTCTCACCTCCGACTTGGCTCGGACTAGACCCATCCCTGGTTGTGGTTTGAACATGAAAGGTCTTCATAGGGTCTTAGGTTTGAACACCTGGTTCTCACCTCGTGCCACCATTTTGGAAGGTTGTGGAACTTCTAGGAGGTGGGACCTTGTGGGAGGAAGGGGTCACTAGGGGTGGACCTTGAACTTTTACAGCTTCTCTTCAGCCAGCTCTCTGCTTTCTGAATGCACATGTGACGCGACCAGACTCTTCATGGTCTTGTCACTGGGCCTTTCCCACTCTGATGGAGTATGTCCCCTCTTAATTATGAACCAGAACAAACCAGTCATTCCTTAAAGTGCTTCTTGTGCTATCTGGCCATAGCAATGACAAAGGTAATGAATACAGCCCTACTGCAGAAAACACACACACACACACACACACACACACACACACACACACACGGCATAGGGCCAGTATGGCCCCTCACTACAGAATTCATGTTCTGACTGCCCTTTTTTATTTCAAATAAAACAGCTTAAAGTGATTGTCCCAATCCATCCCTCAATCTCTAAACCTCATTACCATCCCCACCCACGCTACCACTAGTACACACACTACTTTGCTGGCTCCAGACCAGCTTCCATCTTCCTTAAGAGTGCTCTTAATTAGATGTTAAATTGACAATAACACCTAACAGGATTTTTATAGCTCTATTTTGGGATACTTTCTCTCCAAGCATATGGCAGAAATATTGAGTATTATTATACTTCCTCAATGTTTTTTTCAATTTCATGTTTTATTGCTCATTTTAAGCCTTCATAATCAACTTGGACACACATACACTGGGTTTGTGATGAGAAGCTAGACTAGTCTGCACACAGAGCAATTAAATCTGGCAGCTATGATTCCAAAGGACGAATATTTTCCAGCTGTGGTAGGAGGCCAGTCATACAGAAATGGAGCCAGCTGTTTCACGTTAGTTCCTGATATTACTTTTTATGCTCCTGTTGCCAAGTTTATCTTCTGTTCAGATGTAGTGGGAGAGGATTGTGCCATCTTGGTTACTCGCTCAGATCCCCAGCTCTTTCTGAGAGATGGGACTGCCCCATGTGTGGCTAGTTAGTCACATGGGACTGTGTCCTGGTGAACTGCCAATGTTCTATTTTAGATACTTAGTGGTTTTCTTCAGTAACTGTATTGAGCAAGCACTCTTTGTGGCCTGATTGGGAAGGATAAATACCTAGCTCATTTGGCCCTGGTGTGTCCTCTGTAAGGCTGGAGGATGTACAGCAACCACTACCTTCTAGCTTCTTGAAATCACCATTCCCATGAACTTCATGGGATTTTTGGTGGAATGTACTCAAGCAAAACTCATATCCTCAAGTTGGCAAGTGGTGGAAAAGTGAAGTTTTTAAACATTTTTTTACATTAAATGCATGCTTATGCATTTATTTCTAAAGGACACACAAAGCCTCCTCCTGAGTACTTGGGAGTGAGGAGGATTGGGTGATCCAAATAAGGACCAGAGGGAGGACTTAGGAGTGGGGCTCACTGACTCAAGCCACCGAGCATCACATGAGTTAATTACTGTTTTAGAACAAGCAATTTTTTTTCAGAAACCAGAGGACATGGTCCATATGTCCCAAATCTACAACCCCATTCTTCTTGAACTCAAGGTTTGCCTGTCTTTAAAATGGTGGTGATGGGCACACAACTCCCTCTACTCCCTATAGAACATGATTCAGCCCTAGAGAAATTTCTTTCCCAAGTCTTCTGTAGCCTGACATTTTCATGAGTACCGAAATTCCTAAAATCCATCCTCCTCCCACTTAGGAGACAAGGCGGGGAGGTCGGGGTGGGGGAGGGGAGGGGGCACGACTCTGTCTTAGTTCGTGACTGTATTGGCTGGGCCAAAGGCTTGTTTGGAGCAGAAGTGATGTTTTCCACTTGGCAGAAATGCATGCAAATGGTATGTTTAAATGGTAATTTGGTTTTATTTTTAAGTTAGCACACAATTGTTGTGGGATCATTTTTATTAAGGGTTAGGTCAGAAAAGGAGTGTTGGTGTTTACTCTGTAGCCGCCACATACAGCAAAGGGTTGAACCACATACTTTCTCCTTTGGTTTGGAAGGAAAGTGCCCTTTTGTCTTATGGGGGACATTTTAGCATGGCAGGGCTCAGAGCTTATTTTCCCACCAGGTTAAAGTTCCAGGTTAAAGTGCAAGGGGAATGCAGGGTAGAGAAATCACACACAACTTCTGTGGGCACTGGCTTTCCTGAATCACACTTAAACCATTTGAGGAATGAAAAGCTCATAGAACCTATTGTGAACCTCCAGATGCCCTGTGACCTGTGTGCTGTTCATTTTACCAATACACAAAATTAAGTAAATAAAAAGCAGTCATAGCAGCTGGAGGACAGGGGATTCAAGGTCACCACTACACTTGGTCAATGGTGCCTGAGTCACTCACATGGAAGGTATTACAAGGGGCTCTCAAAGGAAGGGCTTACTCTACAAAGCCACCCAGGTGGATAGGGCATAGAACTCCCTTCCAGGCCAAGAACTAATCCCTGAGACCACGGCTGCCAAACTGTAGACCCCAGGAGCTAACTGGTGTCTTTCCACACTGTCCGAGGCTGCTTTTAGTCATACAAGCAGAGCTGAGTGACTATATGCCTGGAACACTTAAAAAATTCACTAGCTGGCCCTTACTAGGTAGTATCTGATGCCCCTGGTTCTAGACACTTGTTGGGTAGACTTACAAATAACAGGACAACTGAATTAAGGAGAAATTGGAAAAGTTATAACTAGAAATTACTAAGAATTCTGATTTTTCTTGGTACACCATCTTTGCCATATTTAAATAGTCACGTGTGTCCTGGGAGTTGCTTTGAACAATACAGCTACAATCTGATCAAGAGGAAAGTTCCATGGCTACCATGGCTGGGTGAGGGTAACCGGTTGCTTATCTCAGAAGTCTTGTAAGGGACTGAGTGACAACTGAAGGAGAGTTTCCTGTCAAGTTCCTGGTGTCTTCTGCACCCTTGGGATCTTGTATGCAGCAGATGGCTTAAAATTCATGAATTTTAGATTAAGTTAGTGTGAAGCTTAATCCTTAGCTTTTACAACTCCATGGCTGTTAAAAAGCACATCAGTGTCAAAGCAAGGACGTGGCATGGGAAAATATGCAGAAAATACATCAAATTCTAGTATCAGGAGAAGTCAAGGAGATGGGGGGACAATTTCCATGAACCTGGATACCACAGTTTGGTGGTCTCTTTCAGTGTGAGCACCTGTATTTTGGCCTGGATAACTGTGGCCAAAATGGGGTTGAATTGGGACTCACCCCACTGTTAACTCTGTGAAAAGCATTTGACTTTGAATCGATAGTGACAAGATCATTTCTCTTGCCATGGTGGTTATCACATCCAGACTTACAAACTAAAACCAACCAATGGAAATTGGCCATTGCATTGTTTTGCTGGAACTAGACTCGGGTGCTAGGACTTATGGAGAAGCCAAGAAGGGGGGTGGTATCTGCTATAGAGGTGTCTGTCTAAGAATTAAGTAAAAAATAAGCAAAACTAGGAGACTGTGGTTGATACTGAAAAAGAGACAGATGGAGGAAGGAAGTGAGGAAACAGGTAGGAAGGAGGAGAGACACTGGAAGGAAGTGAGGAAGGAGGAGAGCGACTGGATCCCAATAGTATAATACAATTTGACTTAGAAGTAGATTTACCTGGATGAAGTTTCTCACACACACACACACACACACACACACACACACACACACACACCTCAGCTATGAGATTCTCTTTTGTCTTTTCTCATTTGAAATGGAAAGAGTCTTAAGAGACGTTGAGTCTTCAGACAATGAGAACATTTTTTCCTGTAACAATCTATATAATAATAAATATTTTACTCCAATCTGTACATAAATAAAACATCCAGGGCTCATTAAAACCAGCTGAAGGAAGGGAAGGGCAACACCTAAATCATATCAGGGTACTATTTTATTTTTTTTGAAAGAAAGAAAATACACAATTTAGTACACAATGAAGGGCAGTGAGCTGGGCAGTAATAAGAGTACCACTGTGACGGCTAACACTGATTGTCAACACAACACGATCTAGAATGATTGAGGGGACAAGTTTCTGGACACACCTGAGAGATATTAGATTATATTAACTGAGGTGGGAAGGCCACTGTATCTGTAGTCAATAGGATGGAGTCCTTGGCTAAGTATGAATAAAAAGAAAAGAGCAAGCTAATACAGACACAAGGTGGCCAGCTGCTTCTAGCTCCTGCTTCCATGGTCATGAGCTCCTGTTACGGTGGACTGTCCCTCAAACTGTGGGTCGAAACAGACCCTCACTTCCATAGATTGCTTTTTGTCACACTGATACAACAACCATGGCCTATGTCAAGAATGGAGCTCTATCACTAAGTTCACTGAATAAGATGTTTCTTTTTGTTGGGGGAATTTAATGGTAATGATGGGAATATTTTTGATTTAAAAATATGTATCATGTGACTAGCCTTTCATGGATGCCAATACCATTTACATCCCGCCCCCTTCCTGTCTTTGATCAAGTTTTAGTCTATATCCTTGATATGTTATTAGACCATTGTAAACTTCCGTTAATTATGATGTCTATCAGAGCTCTTATTGAAAAACTTTTTCTTATTTATTCCCAAGATCTATTCTTTCCTGCAGAACTTACAGAAACTAAGCCAGAGAGTGGTTCTCTGATGTTTATGTATGAAATAGACAACCTTTTCCATCTGATGTCTTTTACAGGCCATAGGAACAGCTCAGACGCTGTGAATTTATAGTTGTGGGTCGAATTACTCACCAGTTGTGTAACTCAGCAAAAGCTGCTTTGATCTTCTTCACAGAACTGTCCACTTCCTCTTTGATCATGACACGGTATCTAGTCAGAGAAACAGTGCAGCGCTGCAAATCCTTCACTGATTTCTCAATATTTGGGCCTAAAATTGATGCCAAGAAAAAAGGTATTAGCATGACCATTTTATCTTTTATTTATGAGCTAAAAAAATGAGGCCAGCAACCCATCCCCAAATAGACCCATCTTTTGTTGTCTAGAGGAAAAACCACTGCTTAGAGGGAATGGTTTGTCCAGCCATCTAAAATGTCTTCACCCAGGGGGGCTCTGGCTGTGCCATGTGGGGTACACTGGTCATTTTGCTCTTCAGGAAGTGTTATAAACTGCAGTGTCTTCCAACCTAAAGGCCATTTGTGTGGCTGGCTCCCTCTGTGAACACTACTGCATGTGGTTCAAAGCCAACAGAGATTTTGGAGCAGAAAAATGACATAGAGGCGGGGAGAGGTACAAATGGGCTAAAGAGGATGGGGCATGAGTGCCAGGTATGCTGGCTCCTGACCAACGTCCCGAGCCAGGCCTGGAATAACAGCAACAGCATTAAAGCAGCTCTTTGGGTGCCCATCTTCCTGCGTTTCCTGTAACTTGCACCAGGGTGGAGAGTGCATGGCCAACAGGCTGGGCTTATCTCATTAAGAGTATGTTTCTTCAAAGAAAGAAATCTCTCTCAAGAAACTGTAACCAGTGTGTCAAGCCAAAGCCAAGGAAATTAAACACAACTGAGGCTGAATTGGAAGGACATTAGTCTTGGAATCAGAAAGGAAGTGATTTAGCTGTTCAATTTGTAAGGCTAGTTAGTAAGTAGTCAAAGACACTACGGTTTGAAAAACGAAAATCAAGTATGTCAAATAGAAAAAAACGCCTCTCAGTGGTAGATGTCTGAAAGTTCTAGTACAGAACTGAGCTCACACAGTGAAGACCATCTCTCAAGGAGGATCTATCAGGCTCTAGATTTATCTTCATCCACACAGGTCTGGACTTCACATGCCTGGGAGGCGCTAATCCATCGTGCTAACACTGTTTCCTAAGTGACGAAGGTAAACGAACATTCATTCATCCATCCAGAGTGGGGCACAGAAGGGGATGCAATTCTATTTTGGTACTCCTAGACCTTTGACAGACATGGGAAGGACAGCATCTGCCTTTCCATTTTCAATCCAAGCGGCTCATAGGGGTAAAAAATGAAGAAATTCAATTGCATGCATGGCACTCTTTGCTAAGCAGTATTTTCTGGAAAGTTCTGCCATCCTGGCACTTTTATGTGTGTGCAGAATATGTTGAATCATTTGTGCAAAAGAAATCACTTTACCTCGTTTCTTTGCCAGCTCATCTGGCTTTATTTCAAGATGAGCTGCAGGGGCATTGGACTTAACAGGAGATGTTTTTGCCTTAGGCTTGCTTGGGTTACAAGGCTGCCCAGCTGACCACTGTAGACCATCGGACCTCTCTGATGGTCCATGAATAGGTTTGGGGTTCCCATCTAAGGACATTTTCTGTTGCAGTAGTCTGTTGCCTTCTGTAAGAGAACACCAAATAATGACCATGAAGGGATAAAGTAAAAACACGGGCAGCAAAGTGATGGGAGAATGGCAGGATTTCTGGTTTTATTTACAGGCTGGCAATAATGCCTTTCACTGCAAAACACTCAAGGAACTGTTTTAATAGAATTCCCAGAAGAGTTGAGGCTACACCAGAAAGGGCCTTGTATTTAGAGTCAGAAGACTTGGGGTTGTGTGTGGGCTCTGGTTACTGCTTGCAGAGAAATGTGGACAAAGTATTTAACATGTCTGAGCCCTACTTTCTTCACTTGTAACTATCAAGCAAGGTCATTAACAGGCTTGCAAGAGAAGAGTATGATTCCCTATCTCCCCCTGCGCCCCCCATTCCAGTAAAAGTAAAAGCTTAGACATCTTTCAGTGTGAGTTCATATGGAAACCATAAAAATGCAACGCCCCATCTCCATTAACGCTTTGTGGTATTTCATTCTGGATTAATGAAGGCAGCAGAGTGATTGGCAATGTGGCAAGAATGAAGTGATTTCATTTCATCTAATTTATGGGGGGATTAAGTCAGGAAACATCTTGGTAATATCTCAACTATATTTTAAAATCCAAGAGTTAGATTCTCTCTTGAGCTTTAATAGATGTGGCAATAAATCAGCAGCCCATTGCTTTTGGCATCTTCTAAAGGTAGGTTCCTATGTAGTTTTTGCTGGTGTGAGTTAAATGGCAACTAAGGGCCTGAAAAGGAAATGTTATTACTCTTTAGATTTCATCACAGGGATCTCTGTTATGGAAAAACAGACAAAACAATAACAAAAACGGCAGCCAGTATGCTTCTAAAGGCCAGGTTCATGGAGAAAGCTATGCTTTGTGGAAGGGGTGCATTTTGGTTTAGATGACTCCAAGGCTGAGCACCCCTGTATCCTGGACAACCTTGTAGCAATGTTTTCACCTATCTAGCTGGCTGTGGCTCATATGCATACAGAGTGCAACCCTCTCTTTCTCAGGCACTTGCCCACCCCTGCTTCTCTCTGCTCCTTGTTGCCTCCATATATTACATTTAACATTAGACTCCTATGCCTGTCTCTCACTGCCGCCTTGCTGAGGCTATGACCTCCTAGAGGGCAGACACTGAGTCAGATCCACTTTCTAAGCTCCAGGACTTGTGTCTGGTTCAATAGCTTTCTGTAGGACTGTGATTGAGTTAAAGTACACTTAAAATGATTTCATGGGGGAAAAAAGAGAAAGAAACAAGGGACACCTTTCCCGACACTGTCACAAGCATTACAAAGACTAGGGGAAAGTGTGAGAGAATGCAATCTGGGTCCTAGACAATTTGATTTTAGACATTAGCTCATTTATGATAAATATAATTGGACTCTAGTAGAATCCATCATTCATAACCTATATGTCAAGGAGCTTTCCCGAACAATGAAAACTTTACTGAAAGGGAAATTATAGTATGCATTGAAATGTCCACAGTAGGTAATGAACAACTAGTAAACACTGAAAATAGCATTTTTAGCAGTAATGGAATTGATTGAAATAGTAATGTGTAATTTAATCCTTAGTTATGCTAATGTGGAACTTCACTGTATGAATGACAGCCACTGTCAAACTTCAGTGTGAAATGACTCTCCCTTGGTACTAAACAGTACCAAGTTCCTAAGGACGGTCTCCAGAGATCCTGAGTAAGCAATGGGTGTCGAGTCCTGCATCCCAGGTGGTTCTGAAGGAGTGGAGATGGGTAGACACACCTGATGATGAATTTCTAAACATTTGTGTTGGAACAATGACTAAATCCAAACTGGTTCCAATTCGTTCCCATCCTAAATCACAGCTGAAATTCAGTCTTGGTGAGTGATTATAAATTCAGAATTATAAATTCAGCATAGCAGAGTAAATTAGTTGCAGTCTTGGAAATATGGGGATGGATAGCCTAGTGGAAATAATGACCTTAGTTAGAGGAAAAAAATATTCTGTTAAGATGCAAATGAATTTTAAACAGGAGACAGGCATGTAAATAAACATGAGCTCATTAACCTGGAGCTAAAAATATTTTTTTTTGTGCGTCAGAGAGTACTATGTGGGCTCTTGATTCAGTTCACCACTCATCTTTCAAATATTTATTGAGAAATTTGAATAGCAATATTTTTGCTTTCTGAAAAATCATTATTGGGGGGAATCGTTGAACACTGCGAATATTTATAATTCCTAAAGACCAGTTGGATCTGTCTGAACACTGGCTAGATAGATTGGTCTATAAATATGACGAAACTCTGGGATTCTCTCAGAGAGTTAGACAGTCACAACAGAATGATGTTCATTTTGACCACAAGTCCTGGACTTCTAGTAATACAGTAATGGAAGTTATTTCCTGGACACAGTGATTTTCCTTTAGTATCAGAAACACCATCAGGTCCCCCTTGGGAAGCCAGCTTTAAATTTTAACAGCCTGATTGATTAATTCCAGTTAGTTACACTGTCAATAAGGTAGCCATCCCCCCACAAGTGGCTGATCCAAATTGAGATGAGAAGTCCTATAAGAAAGATACACCGATTTTTTTTAAAGCTTGGCACAATATCTTAAAAAGATTCTTCAATAAATATAAAAAATATTGAGACTGGAGGGTATAGCTCAGTGTAGTACTTGCACAGAATATGTAAGACCCTAGGTTGGATTTTTTTTTTTTTGAGACAGGTGTTTAGCTTTGGCTGTCCTGGAACTCACTGAGATCCGCCTGCCTCTGCCTCTTGAGTGCTGGGATTAAAGGCATACACCACTGCCTTGCCCCCTAGGTTGAATCTTTAGCATTGCAAAAAGTAAATAAATACTAGTTATATGTTGAGATGATCGTACTTTAGGTATATTAATTTAGAAAATGTATTACCCAATTGAACCACCTTATACCATTTAATGTGGCTATTAGAAAATATAAAATTACATATGTGCTTGCACTGTATTTCTACTGGCTAACACTAATGTAAATCGTAAGAAGCATTAGATGGATGGTTGACTGTGTTCAGTCACTAATAATATATAGTCTACTATGAAAGGGCATTTATTTTAGTCTTCACTTTCTACACGTCAAAGTGGTGACAGAGCGGTGCATGTCTTGCTTATCATCATATGCTTGATATCTACTGCTACATGGTAAACCCTGAATGAGTGAATAAGAAATATGCACCGGTGAACCAGTATTACTTCAGTGCTTTGCATATCTAGGGCCATTCCAATGGTAGGGTACCTAGTCAAATAGGAGTGGCTTTAATATTCATCAAGGACTTGAGCAAAATTTGTGACATCTCAGAAAGAGATGTTATCCCTGGAAAGAGCCTATTTGCTCAGATTCAGTTAAAAATTGTACATATCTTTACTTAATTCTTTTCCAGGTATTTATCTTAACAATGGCTCCCAGAAACTTCTGTGGTTTTGAATTTCACAATTACCAGAAACCCTTTAAAACTGAAAATACTTAGCAGATCTTAATACAGCTAGAGCATGACTTAAGGAGAATCATTTAACTTTCTGATTCAAGTAGACTCAATGGACACTTCATATGGAGTCCCTGATGTGCTAGCTCTGGCTTTCATATAGAACACAAGTAAGTCACATCTCTCTGCCCTTAACACTAATATGTAAAGCTAATATAAGAATGGAAGAGCTTAGTGAGTCTGAGGTGACCTTCTTCCTCTAAATTGCCTTGGCAACACTGTTGGAAATCTATTGACTATTTGCATGGGTTGGTTTCTGAACTCTATTTTATCCACTGATGTAGTTATCTGTCCTCACTCATTATATATATATATATGAAGTCCTAGCTTCAGATATGATCTCCAGATTTGTTCTTTTCATTCTAAAGATTATTGTCTCTATCATAAGTCCTTTGCATTCCAATATAAATGTAAGAATTAGCTTTCTCAATAAAGAATTTCAATTAAAAATCTGGCAGAACTTTAGTTGAATTTGTGCTCAATCTATAAGCCAAATTGAGAAAAAGCTGGCCTGTTATCAATATTGAATCCTTTGATTCTTAAACATGACATATCTCATTGTTTATTTGAGCCTTTAAAAGTTATTTTTTATATAGTTTTAGTTTTGAGGCTTAAATATCAATAGTCAAATTTATTCCTAGGTATTTTAGACTTCTTTTGGTTAGGTATGTACAATTTAAATTTTTTTCAATTCCCAAATGTTGGTTACTATAGTAGAATATGAGTGATAACTACCAGGAAGTAGAGACTTTTGGGGGTGATGGGGACTGAAAATGAGGGAAAAGAGAGAGAGAGAGAGAGAGAGAGAGAGAGAGAGAGAGAGAGAGGCCCCAAGATCTTAGATGATGGAGGTACCATTCAGGGCCTTGGAACCCAGGATGTATAAAGGGAGTAACACCAGTCAAAATGAGAACAAAGACCTGATCCATCATAGTCAATAGTTCTGGGGAAGTTCCTAAATGTACTAACCTTGCCTTTTGACTTCTGTAGTTCTCCTTCTGACTAACTGTTCTTGCTAACTGAGGTGTGTCAACCCAGGATTTGTTTTTTGTGCTAAAATGCCCATCCTGTGAAACGTTTGGGACTGCACTCTGGTCCTGAACACCTAGTGTAGTCTCTGGAAGGCTAATAAAGACTTTCTATTGGTTTGAACTCATGCCCGGGTAGTCTTGGATACCTCAATAACAGATACCTTACAACAATACTAAACTTATATCTAGAGACTTGTTCTATGGCCTATTAATTGGCCTATTTTGATTAAAATGCCAGATGTTCCTGAAATATTGGGTATATGGTCCTATCAATCAAGTTAGTTGGTAGTATTGAGTAAGTCTATATTCTTACTGAAGTTTAATGTACTTGTCTCATCAATTAGTAAGAAAATAGTATTAAAATCTACAACTATTATGGATTTGTCCTTCTTTAACTCTATCAATACTGCTGAGATTTTGAAGCTCTATACTTAGGTCCAGAATTGCGAACTCTAGGTGATATACTGACTTAGGTGTTACTATGAAAT